GCCTACTCTGAACCTCTAGGTGGACAGAAAATGCCTTCTGAAGTGACCTGGTCTAAGGTCTGGGTAACAACAAGAAGTAGGACGTGAGAAAATCGGGGGCGGGGGGGGAGGGAAGAGCTAGAATGAAAGCTCGTTGAGGGGAGAGTTTGTCAGTCCTCTTCATCACTGCATCTCCGGACCCTAGAAGATGCCTGGCCCATAGGAGGCACTCAGTAATGAAACGCAGCATGAATGAGTAACGCATATTTCTGGCAGAGGGCACAAAAAATGCAAAGGCCCTGGGGTAAGTACCAGTTTGGTGTGTTCGAAAAGAACAGAGAGGAGAGGCCCACAGGGCGTAGTGCAGTAAGTGGACACACAAGGCTAGAGTGTGGCAGATGCGTGCCATGGGATAGTCAGTGAGGCAGGAGGGGCCAGATGACAGAGGACCCTGTCAGTCATAGTTTAAATTCGATTTTACTCATCTTTCAAAGAGATGGCACTGAAGGGTTTTAGTAGAGAGTGGTATAACCTGGCTTATTTCTTTAAAAGATCACTGTGGCTGCTGTGAAGAGATGTTTCAGGGAAACAGGAATGGAATCAGGCGGCCATCTGAGAGGCGATGTATAGATGTATGGATCCGAGCAGGGGACGTACTGAGGGCTGGATGGTGAGGGAGAGGAGAACTGTGCAGCACTGCTTGGGTTTCTACGAGGACAAGCACAGCTATCTGTGCTGTTCACTGACAGGGACACTGGGAAGGAGCAGGGTGCGAGGAGAAAAGCGCCAGGAGCTCTGGTTCCCCAGGCATCTGAGTGAGGATGTCTGCTAGGAAGCTGGTCAAAGCAGGCCGTAACCCCGAGGAGGGGTCCACGGCGAGTCCTCCACAGGAGGTGGCGTCCAAAGTCCAGGGACAAGATCAAGTAAGAAGCAACGTGTATATAAAGGTCTTCATCTTCCTGTTGGGCTGCCAGAAAGGTACAAACTCAACATAAATCGTAGCGGACATTATCTTATCTTCTCAGAAGTTCTGGACACGATTGTCTTCTCTTACGGCCCCTCCTCTTTATAGCATCTAGTATTCTTTTATCTACACTATTTCTGTTAGTATGCGTCCTATAAAAATGTCTGAGAAATGAGGTACTGCAGTGACATGATTGGGAGCTTGGCAATGGCGTGTCTGTGGGTGCGAGCCCCTGGCAGACGAGAAGCTCCCAGGGCATCGCTATGCCTCATCCCCACACTGTGGATGAAACGGCATCCAGCTCAGAGCAGGCAGTACGTGGATATGGACTGCGTGTGTGGCTCCTCTGTAAATGGAAGGGGTGGAGGCCCTATTCGAATACGCTAAAGCTTCGTTCTAAGACGTTTTAAACAAATTTAGTGCCTAGTTAAATACCAATCAGTACAGACCAATGCTTTAAGGGTAAGTTTTCAGATCCTGGATTCAAAGACTTCAAGCAGCAGGAAAAATAACTGCACCGGCTTTAAAAGATGCATGATGTTTGGGCCCGTGGAAGCTGATTCAGAAAGGAGGCAGCAGTGAGGCTGCAGGGAAATGACTTTGCAGAACAATACACAGGGGAGGGACCTGGGAGTGGGGAGACAGGGAGAAGTGTGGACATCCTTGAGGACAGCATCTTCATGGCTTAGAGTTCTAGAAAGTTACACATTTCAGAGAACTTCGAAGATGCTTAGAAAATGACCCAAATTCAATTTGTAGAATAGATTAGAAAGCAGAGCAACTGTTAACTTAGTCCAGGCACAAGGTACTAAGAATCTGATAGAAAGGAGGCCAAAGGTTCCAAAAAGTCTGAGTTGACCTAACTTGGTGAGTGATATGTGGAGAAAGGCAAAGAAGAGACTCAGATTTTAATTTGGGGTCTGAGACCAAGCAGTCAGTATGACTCGACGAAATCTGGGAGAGCAGAAGACAGAACTGGAGAAGAAAGGCGGGGCCTTGGATTCCATGCCGAGTAGTCTAAGCTGGAAGTGGCCCTCCATCTCCCGACGCTACTCCTTACCACACACCGTGCATGCAGCTGCTCAAGTCCTGGCCCGGAACAACGTGTCTGGGTGCTATTTCACATAAACACAACAGAGAAACCCTTCGTATAATACAACCTCTCTATGGTTGCAAAAGCAAAATGAAATGGCTAAAATCATAAACAAAAATAAAAGAAGTGCCAAAAATTGTCTACTTCTAAAAAGCACTATGATTTCACATTTGGATGTTTTGTAAAAAAATTATTATATGAAAAGATGCTCAACATTATTTAGCTATGAAAGAATTGCAAACTATACCACAATGAGATACCAGTACACAACTACTGGGATGGCTAAATGTTTTAAAGACTCTAATAGCAAGCGGTGGCATGGACGCAGAGCAACTGGAATGCTCACACACTGTTGCCGAATGGCACAGCCACTGGAAAACGGTTCACAGTTTCCTACCAAACAAAACTTACACTTGCCCTATGACCCAGCAGCCCTACTCTTGCCACTTACCCAAGAGAAACTAAAACATGTCCACACTGATACCTATATGGAAATAATTATTGCAGCTTTATTCATAATCATCAAAAATGGGAAAACTCAAATGTGCATAAACTAGCGAACAGATAAACAACTACAACCACACCACAGGGCACTACTTAGGAACAGACTGCTGGTACAGGCAAAACATGAATGAATCTCAACAGCTTCATTACATGGAAGAAGCCAGGCACAAAAGGCACAGTAGTGTGTGGTTCTATTTATATGGTACTCTGGAAAAGGGAAAACTACAAATATTCTATACATATTTTGGTTATGGTGGTAGTAATAAACATTTATCAAAACTCAGAAAAATGTGGCTCAGTGGGTGAGTGTTGACCCATGATCCAGGAGGTCACAGTTTGATTCCCCATCAGGGCACATGCCCAGGTTGAGGGCTTGATTCCCAGTAGGGGGCGAGGGCACAACAAATGCAAAGTCCCTAGGGTGAGTACCAGTTTGGCCTGTCCAAAAAGAACAGAGAAGAGAGGCCCACAGGGCGTAGTGCAGGGGGTGTGCAGGGGGCAGCCCATCAATGTTTCTCTCTCATGGATGTTTTCATCTCTCTATTCCTCTCCCTTCCTCTCTCTCTCTCAAAAAAAAAATATCAATAAAAACATATTGAAAAAAAATGTACTTCTAAAGGTTGAATCTTGCTATCTGAAAATTATTCTTCAATAAATCCAACTTAAAAAACAACAACTATAGCATCGTAACATTTGCTCAAAGAAAACTGTTAAAGCTCAACATTGTTATCTATGATTACTCTGAAAAATTCTAGATATTTCTTAACTAACAAGAATACTACAAATGTCCTTAACACTGAAAAGAAATAAACCCCATGCTTCCCTCTTTGGGCATCAAAGCATTCCTACGCAGACAGGGAATAGGAAGTCAGAGTGCAGAGAGGGGTGAATGCCAGTTATTGAGACACTAATGAAGCGAGTCTTGTTTCTCGACAGCTGCTGGCTCCATTGTTCCTTTGTCACACGCAAAAAAGGGGAGCTGTATGCTCATGGAATGCGGCCTTCTCCTGGGAGCGCTGCTACATCATGCCCGGAAACCGCCTGAGAGACCCATTTCACCAAGCACTCAAAGAAAAGGGTAAAAACCAAACACAACCATTAGAGACCCCAAAACCTGTATTAGGTAATCTGTACCACTCCTTAAAATCAGACTATTTCTAAATACATAATATTCCAGAGTTTATTTTTCATGATTAATGTTTTGTCTCATTTTATTGTCCTCACATTATGAATTTCACAGAATATTTTTAGTCTAGATAAGTCTGCTATTCTTCAGGGGAAGCGGCGGGAGCACACTGTGGTTACTGACTCCCTCAGCCATGGGAGCAATCCTTTACTTTCTGTGTTACCAAAGGCCTGCCTAGACACTTTGCCACTTTATAGCTTGGTCATTTATCAACCTGAACAAGGGCTTTCAAAGTCTTTTGATCATTATCCACAGTGAGAAATACATGGTACAGTGCAGCCAGGACAGAGATGCGTGTGCATGCACACACAACACTGAAGTCTTACAAAGCAGGACTCACCCTTACCACATAGGACAATCTCTGTTAATAACGTCCCTCTTGTCACAGTCTTTAAAAGGCTGGCAGACACCCACACAGTTCATAGCATGACCCACAATTTTTAAAATCATCGCATCAGAAGATGAAAAAACACGTCTCTGCATATTTGAAAACAGGTTTTTAAAAATTTCTGTTTTTAAACAACTGAGTGACCTTCCCTGAGGCTAACTCACAACTCAGCAGACGTGGCTCCTTCTCAGGGGGTTCCTAGGCCCATTGGGTGACAGCAGAGGGAAGGTGACAGAGCAGCAAGCCCCCTGCTGCCCACCCTCAGATAAGGGGGTGAGGGGGCTGGCCTAACAGTCAGGGCCTTGCTTTTTTCCCTTTTCATTTACCCTTATCGTCATTCCTTAACTTCTACACACACACACACACACACACACACACACACACACGCACACGCACGGAAGTGAAATAAAAGTCTATGGGTAGAGCAGAAATACAAAAGAGAGTAAAGCACAGTTTCCCTTAACACCTGAGGATTCAGTTACGCCGTTAGGATGCTCTCTCAGTACCACAGACACTGAGGAAGTTTAAAAGACTGAACTGGCATGTAAACCACACGTAAAAAATATTTTCAACTCTTAAAAATTTTGAGCCCTGGCCAGTTTGGCTCAGTGGATAGAGTGTCAGCCTGCAGACGAAAGGGTCCTGGGATCAATTCTGGTCAGGGCACATGCCCAGGATGTAGGCTTGATCCCCAGTGGGGGGTGTGCACGAGGCAGTCAATCAATGATTCTCTCTCATTCCTCTTTGAAATCAATAAAAATGTATTTTTAAAATTTTTTGAGTTTTTAAACTACTAATCAATATTATATTCTTCTATTACAAACTGAAACAATTGGGTATTTATGATAATTAGAAAGCAATTTTATATGAAGATTGGAAAACTTACTTTTAAGGATTCCCACAAGGGAAACTGGACCAATGAGAAGGGAATCTGAAGAGAGAAAAAAAGAAATAAATTAGGCAGAGAAGCTCAGACTTTGCCTAGCATGACTATACAAACCCATAATTATTACTGAGAACATTATTTCATTTAACTATGTATATAATAAAGCTAACATTAAACAAATGTATACATTACTATATACAATACACAGGTTTAGAAAACAAGTTAACTGTAACTGCCTTCAGCGTCCCACTAACTTTCTGAGCCCATGTGAGTCGGATGATGCTGTGGTGCCCTTTGCGAGTGGAAGGGAAGCACAATATGAAGAAACCTTGGCTACTAAAATGACAAAATGAATATTTCTCATCACAAGTAATAAAGGCTTTAAAGACTTGGCACATTTCTGCTTAAGAGCTAGAGCTGTCTGCTCCTTAGCAGACCAAGTATTAGGGTTAAAAGAGAGGAAGGGATGGGGGGCAGTGGGGAGAGCTAGAGAGGGAGAAAGAGCTGGAGTGGGGAGGCAGCAGAGAGGGAAAGGCCAAAAACTGTGGGCGAAAAGAAGGGGAAGGGGAGAAGTCAGAGAGGGGAGAGGGGCAGAGAGAGGAGAAGGGGGACAGGGAGAGGAGGAAGGAGGAGAGAAGATGGAGAGAGAGAAGAGTGAGGGAGTACAGAGGGGGGAGAGAGGAGGGGAGTGAGAAGGAAAGGAGAGGGAGACCAGAGGGAGATGAGCGAGGAAAGGCAGAGAGGGCAAGGCAGGTGGAGGGGAGGGAAGAGGGAAGAGGAGACAGAGCCACTGGAGGAGTACGCTGAGGCAGGGACCAGAGGAGCACAGCGTGGACGGGGGAGGTCTGCACCCTCCAGGAAGGAGCAGCCTATCGATGCTGGAGGGGTGGAGGCTCCTGGATGCCTGATGTACACACAAGAGCAGCAAGGAGAAGGAGAAGAGTGACCTGCAGGAATGAGCATGAGCGGTGGGCATAACCACCACACTACGAAACAGGTAGTGACAATTTGTTGTGTAACAAGAAGAGCTAGAATTACCAGGCACTTTTCATGTGTCAGGCACTGTGCTAATAAGCACTTCACAGGTTTTATTTCACTGAATCCTCACAACCCTATAAGACAGGTATTATTACCAACCTCGTTTTATAGATGAGGCAACGGAAGTCCAGAGAAGCTGTGTAACTCTCCTAAAGGCACAGCTAGAATGAAGAAGCCAGACAATCTGACTCCAGAGCCCTGTCTAGTATTCTACCTAAAAAATCTAACTGCATTAATCTGTCCAGAGTACATTCATCCTCAGTATAATCTATTTGCTTCTAATTAAACATTCCAAAATTCTAAAAATAGAACCCACCTCCATATATCCTAAAATAAAAGTACCAGGATTCCAGTGGACCCACCCATCAGCCTCTTCAGATCCACTCGCTGACCCATGGGCCTGTGCCAGGGATGCTCCAGCAGACCAGGGCCCATGTCACCGGCAAGTGAAGAGTAAATGTGGACTTTGAACATTAACAATGTGAGTGTATGTATGTGAGATCACAATTTTGAAGGAATTAACAGCCCATGAATTAAGGGCATTAAGTCACTTCTAAAATATTTATTCAGAAATTAAGAGTCTGACATAAGCTCTCTTATTCTGCTGGAACAAATGATGGCCTTGGGCTTGACAGTGGCCACAGAAAGAAAATCTGTCTTCCATTCAGACAGGAAATGGCAGTGAGAAAAAAAAAATCAATGTCAATAAATTAGTTTAAGCTGATAAACTAGAATCTCAGAGAAGTTTGTCATCTTCACCCCACCCCATACAGCGAAGTGCTACAATAGGAGTCCAATTTAGTTTAGTTTTGTCATAAAACCATGAAAGCATCTGACACTGTCCATTCTGAAACTAAAGTACTCCCAATTAAATTAATTATCAAAACCCTAATTTTTTTAAGTACACAATATGTAATAAAATACCAAGAGGACAACAGGCAGAGGGATTACAGATGATTTTAATGTTCTTTTTTGTACTCTTTTCTCCCACATGTAAATGTATCACGTTTTAACAAGAATGTAAATAGTTCACATTTATAAGATGAAAAAGATCTTATAACTTATCGTTACTGGCCATGCTAACATTCTTCCCTTGATAAAAATAACCCATTAAGTTGGTACTTAATATATAATAGAGGGTAGAGCAAACATAGGTTTACAGTTGTGAGTACACAAAACGCAGCTTATTCTTGTATTATTAATTATTAGTCGTTGAATTATTTTCCATATGACAACTTTAAACCTACATTTGCCCCACCCTGTATTAGATTTTGAATTCTGTAGATGAACATTTTGCCCATTTTCTTCTGTTCAACACTATTCGTTAAATTGTTCCTTTATTCTAAAGAAGTAATTTAAAAATCACACATTTGAAATGGCCAAACTATTTCTTTGGGCATGTATTTGTAAAAGTGGGCAGACCCCAACTTTATTCTCCTATTTCTTTGGGCATGTATTTGTAAAAGTGGGCAGACAATACACCCCAACTTTATTCTTTAAAACGAGATTGACAGTCTACAGTAATTAAATGTCCTATATGTTTAAATAATTACATTTATTTCTGGTTTCTGGTAGTGAAATAATTTTAGGTAACTTATTTAAACATTTACCTATCACCAAGTATTGGACTAGAATCATCCCTGAAGCCATTAAATCCCTTATAAGATAAACTCCTGACGAGTGAAAAATTTTCAAATATTCTTCAAGCCAGAATCTCATTGAATGCATCTTGTCGTTTAGCATATGAAGAAACAGCAGTGAAGTGTGCTCCCACCTGGGGAAGGAGGCCAGCAGACTTGGCTGCACAGTGAAAATAAACACTGGTCCAGCTTCCACAGTCCCCACACGCACGGCCTGTCAGAAAGCCAGCGAGCTCCCCAGGTCTGCTTTGGAGTTACATAACAGTGATGTTTCTTCAAAACATAAAATTTAAAACCCCAAACAGATGTAAGCTGTTATTCTAGAGTGTTTTATAGATGAAGAAAATGCATAGCTGCGCTCAGAGATCTTATATTCCAAATATAACTTAACCATTTTATTGCACCAAAAGTTACAAAATGGCTCACTGTTGTGACCTTTTTAATACCTCCATTTAAGGTATTTTGTTTGAATATGGTTGTTGAGACCGAGGGCACTAATAGGTGAGCAGGGGTAAATCCAGCTCCATCAAAGAGGCAGATATAGAAAGGAAAAAACAGCTAAAATTGAGCATGGATTCCTCTAGTAACAAACAGAGCAACAATTCTATGCAAAAGTGCATGCGAGGAGTCCACGTGAAGTAGATAAAATGAAGATAAAATGAAATCTGGGTGTGGTGAACAGGAAAAGTAGGTGCTGGGTGTTGCTAGAGAAATAAAGAAGGTACAAAATGACATTATGCGCACACTTTACCTATCACCAAGTATCATCCGTGAAGCCATTAAATCATTATAAAAGCTGTGACCTTAAAATAAATGCTGTAACCTTATAAGTTTTTTAACAAATAATGATGTGGTTGATAATATAACCAGAGGGATATGAAGATAAGACTTCTAAGGTATCATTTAGCCCTAAAATTCTGTTTGTCATTGGGAAGGTCAAATTAAAACACCAATACACATTAAATAAATGAATGAATGAATGAATGAATGAATGAATGAATAAATAAAATAAATAAATAAATAAGATTTGCCTTGGCCAGGTGGCTCAGTTTGTTGGCGCATCATCCCATATAGCAAAGGGTTGTGGGTTTGATTCCCGGTCAAGGAGCATGTGGGAGGTGGATGGTCAATGTTTCTCTCTCCCTCTCTCTGCCACCCTCCCCCTTCCTCTCTCTCTCTCAAATCAATGAACATGCCCTTAAGTGAGGATTTAAAAGATAATAAACAAATAAATAGGACTTGACTGGAAGCTGCAATGAACACACTATGAGTGATCAAGGAAGCCTAAGGAACAAGAGAGTACATTTTAAAAACTGTGAAAGCTATCATACTTTCAGAAATAACCCCAAATTCTCCAGCTATAAGACAAAAAAATCCACATTGACCGCTACGACCTCAGATCAGAAGGGGGTTGAGGAACAGCATGGATACTGGGTGGGCCCACGGACTGGCCCATTCCAAATTTCAAGGGATCCCACAGGGAGTCTCCTTTTTGTTGAAGGACAGTGTCCAAATTTCTGTGCTTGGCTGAGGATTTTCCATTCTAGTGTCGCACAGCAACAAAGCCATTTCTCCTCTTAAAATGCTCTGTGCCTTTTCCCTTCAACCCCAGTGGCAACCAAGGACAAATGAACTGGAAGCCTTAAAAATCTTTTATCCCAACATGACTTATTATTACTTTTTTTAAAGTGAGAACCATTCAAATCTGGTCTGCTAGCATATCACATACCAAGAAAACAATAACTTTAAATATACATTATTTCAAAATGTAACAACTATAATCCACTTATGTGCACTGTCCACATAGAAAATAATGTATACATAGCAAAGGAGATTAACCTAAAAGTAGGAAACATTGAAAGTGAATTATTTTTCAGGTTTCCAAAACATACTAAAATTCCTAAAGCCCTTTCCAAAGAAAGAAAAAATGGACACTAGAGCATATATGATCAAATGATGTTTGACAAGAGTGCCAAAGCTATTCAATGGGGAAAGGACAATGGTGCTGGGCGAAATAGACATTCAAGTGAAAAGAATGAGGTTGGACCCTTACCTTACACCATATACAAATATTAGCTCAAAATGGATCAAAGATCTAATGTAAGACCTGAAACAATAAAACTCAGAGGAAGACCTTCATGATACTGGGTTTGGCAATGATTTCTTGGATATGTACCAATACACAGGCAACAAAAGCAAAACTAGAAAAACGGGATGACATCAAAATTTAAAAATTCTGTGTATCAAAAAACATAATCAAACAGATTAACATGGAAGAAAATATTTGCAAATCACATATCAAATAAGGGGTTAGTATTCAGACTATATAAGAATTCCTACAACTCAACAACAAAGGAAACAAACAAC